GCTATGCAAAAAACTTTTAAGTTTAATAGGTCCCATTTGTTTATTTTTCCTTTTATTTCCTTTACTTTAGGAGATGGATCCAAAAAATATTGCTGCCGTTTATGTCAGTGTTCTCTAGCATCCTATTCTTGTTTCATGAGTATAAGTCCTTTTTACCTCAATGAAGTTTTCATGACATTTTTTTCTTTTCAAATAGACTTTTGTATTTGTTCTCTTGATCTCTGATTTTTAAAATTAGATTTCTTCTAATATATTAAACATTGTAAAAAGCTGCTTGAAGGTCATGCAGGAAAGTGGGACTTGTCACTTATGGTCTTTGCTATAGAGGGACTTGCCATGGGATTGTTGGGGAACCTCAGTGTCAGTATCTTTTAGTCTTGTTCTGATCAGATTCCATAGAGGAGGCTCTTCTTAGTTAGCTGCCTGAGGAGTATAAGCCTAGTGGGAGAAGACCACTGAGTGGAAAAAGTGATGAGTCTCAAGCTTTAGTAAATAAACTGATTTAATCCTGTGGTGCCTGCTATCATTTTTAATCTCTGCCTATCTTCCGAGAGTACACTGGGGTGGCTACGTGGAATGTGGAAAGGAATCTGGAGGTCAAAGTCCTTAAACTGACTTCCAGATGTCTCTTTCTATTTCCAGATATTTTTTTGTGCCACCAATTTGAGTTTTTTGAGAGGTTCTGTGAACTCCTCTTGATTCTGTTTTCCATACTGTGGCTGATCATTCAGTTTTTCCAGGTCCTGAAATAATTGGGTTTTTTTTCCCTAGGTTCCAAAACTGTTACTGTCATATCCTTTCTTTTCTCCTTGTCCTTGATGCCTCCAAGAGCCTTCTGATAATTTTGTTTACTTTTTTGTTTTAATGCTTCAGGAGAGAGCAGATGTGAATGTATCTGTTCAATCTGACATATTTAACCTGGAAATCTTTTTTTCTCGTATAACATTTCCTTTAAAATTAGAAATTTTGTCATGAGTTCTAGGGTTTCCTTTTATTGTCCATCACTTCTTTATTTTTTTTTTTTTGCTATTTAGACATCATTTAATTGTTTGCAGTCCAGTTTTTCCCAATCATTATCCTTATGATTTCTAGGTTTCTTTTTCCTTTTTTAAAGAGAGTTTCCCTCACATTGCAGTTAAATAGCTAAGACGTAAAATGTTAGAATATCTTCTGAATCCTCATTGTGCAATGGTTAAGAGTTTGAGTATATTATACACATTATAACTGACTTACTTCAAATAAATAAATAACTACATAAATAAATAAATGTTAAAATAAAAAAGAGTTTATGAGTATATTAGTGAATGACTAGAAACATCACAAATGTCCAATACCAGAGGCTGATTAAATTATGTTTATACAAAGAATAAATTGTGTTTATACTTAGAAGCTGTAAAGAGAGAATGAAGAGTTTTTTTATGTACTGCTGCAGAGTTATCATTAGGATATATGAAGTGACAAACCAAAACAGAAGACTGTTTATAGAGTGCTACCTTTGATATAATAGAAAGGAATATGAATAAATAAAATCATCTTTTGTCTTCCAAAAGGGAATGATGAAAGGTAGTAGTTTTAGAGGAAGGGACAAAGTAACATGGGTGGGCAGGTATAGTTAGAACATAACTGGGACTCTTCCTTGATTGTATTTAGGTTTGACTTTGGAACCATATATATCTGTTTCTATACTAAATATAAAAGTTAAAAAGTCAAATTTAAAAAAATTCAAACAAAGGGAAATAAGTGAACTTAACTACCAATCAAGTTAGTGACATACTCATTTAGAGAAAAGAAGCACTTAAGTGACCTAGTTTGATTAAATGTTTCTAGTGGAATATATTCTAAGGTCAAAAAAAAATCCTCAAAGTAATCTTAAACTGCATTCAGTCATTGAAACTATGTTTAAGATAAAGCAAATAAGTAATTGTCATCATAAGGTACTGAGAATTCAACATAATAGAACATAAATGAGAGTATAAAATTAAAGAAGTTGAATTTTTAAGTTCATAATAGAAATATAAGTATGAACTTATTTTTCTTGAATTACACATTACTTAGCACTACCATTGAAAAGCCCTGGAAGTAATGACAACTCCTTAGCAATGAGCTGGCACCAAATTGTGGTCTGTAAATATCTTTTTGCTCAAAGAAGAGACAGAGAGCCTTGAAGAAATAGCTGTTTCTTGGTTGGGCCAGGAAATGTGCAAGGTGATTCTGGAATATCTTACCATTCTAGATAGTAAGGAAATCATCTATGAGACTAATGGGCTAGTGTCAAAAGTCTCTCCAAACGACCAGAAGAGACCTCCTACTGGTTTAAGATGGGCAGTTTAAGAATTAAAGTAATGACTGCAGTGGATTGAAATATATAAAGTATATAAAAATACATGGGTTTTAAAAGAAACTAAAATAAAGACCTTGTCAGTTACCCATTGAGATTGTAGGGGGCCAACCTCTTACTTGCAAATTGATAAAGACTCAAGCATTTTTTCCAGCCTTCCTGTATACACTACTTTAAGTTACTGAAGTATAAGTTCTTAGAAGAAATTTACCTAATAAGTGAAAAATAAGAAAATCACCATTTGATAATCCCAAATGAAATAGTAGATTTAGGAAATGATCATGAATTGATGCCAAAACCATTAGGTGAAAGGCTAGGGGAGGGCTTCCTACTAGAGAATTTAGCCTTATACTATCAGATCAATTAATTTTGGTACCACTAAAATTGAGACAACCAGATATGTGACTCATAATATGATGCAATAGGTACACAGCAGGAAATACTTATAAAGTTATTCTGCCAGGAAAAAAGTAAGAGATTGAGCTTAATTAGATCCATTGTCTTAGATTTATCACTTCATAGGAAATATGGGGAACTAGAGGAATACATTAAATGATACCGTGGTCATTTATCATGAAGCAGTTATTTAAATAAAACATGGACAAGAAAAATAACTGTTTCTCCAACAAATCAATGGCATGGAGGAAGAAACAGTGGGCCTAATGATCATAACCTAGTGCACTCTATGGAACTTGTTTGAATTCTGATTTGAACAAACATGTTGTAAAAAACAACTTTAAGGCAATCAGGAGAATTTTGACATGGGCTATCAGATGATATTAAACAGCAGTTTTGTTAGGTGGAGTATTGGCATGTAACATAGGAACCTTTTATCAAAGTTGTACACTGGGTTGAACACTTTTTTTAATTGTTGAAGATGGATGACAGATGCATGGAGAGTAAGTTCTCTATCCTATGTACTGCCTACTGTTTTTTGCTTTGTTTTTAAAGCCAGAAAAACTAATTAAAACTATATTGTTCTGGATCAGATAGCCTGGGGTTTGAGTCCTGGCTTCGCCTCTTACTAGCTATGTGGTATATAGCTCAAGTTAACGCCTTATGTGTAAAAACTGAAGAATAGTATAACCATTTCATAGGATTCCTGTAAGGATTAAATAAGTTAATACATCTGAAATACTTAGAGCAATGCCAGGCACATTATAAACTCTTACTATATTCCTTCTTATCTACCATAAGGTATCTGTCACATCCACTGCTACGAAAATGTCCCAGCCTTTGAGATAGGAGAACTGAGTTGTTACACGTTCCCTGTTCCTTTAACAAGTGCTGAGAATGGAGAACTCAGGATGATGTTTTCATTATAGAATCAGTGAAGTTACATGTGGCCCTTCACCTATGGCATCCATAACCTTTTAAGTGTATTGTTTTGTTTTGTTTTTCTTTTCTGTCGATATATTCTTTCCATTCTTCTACTGAAACTGCTCTCATTATTGGACATCTGCACAGGAGTGGGAACAGGGATACTGACATGTCAGAAGAGCTATAGGAAGACTAAAAGGTAGCCAAGCAAATGAAGAGTTTGTGACAAGGCTAGCCTTTTTGGTAGTGCTCTATGAAGTAATGATTTATATAACCTTGGAATTGCTTTAGCTATCATTTTTTAGTCTTACAGGTGCTCATATAATTGCCCAGTTTTCGAAAAAACTTCTTGATGAAGATATTTCTATTTTCTGTGGATCGGAAATGTTTCCTGTGGTTAAAGGAGCTTTTACTTCTGTTTGTCGTCAAATATATGGTACATGTGAAGGCTTGCAGGTGTTAGTTCCGTATAGTTTGCATGAATCTATAGTGAAGGCATGGAAGAAGGTAAGTATTTTCAAGCTTCTTTTTTCTTCCTGGGAAATCTTTTTTTCAAATACGGTTATTATTGTAGTATCATACTGCAGTTAAAATTATTTACTGGAGCAAATATGACCTCTTTGGCACCACAGTACTCCAGGGGACATAATGCTTTCTTATTTAGCAAAGCATGACTTTACTGCATCCCCTCCCTGTAGGACAAAACTCTGTGACCTAACTGGGCACTACTTCTTGTAGGAGAGGCTTTAGATAAATTGTCTTTGCATAGACTGACTCTTTTGAGTTCATTTCTGAGCAATTTTTACGGATAGCTGGATTTTCGTTATGGACACTAGAGATCATAATGTAGCAATAGTTAAATACAGTCAGTGAACTGTCTTTTCCCCCCATTTATATGCTTTATTTATGAAATAATTTACATGCTATTTAAGAACCAAATAACTTAAATTTTGCAGATAATTTAATTTTAGTTACATTAAGGATCAAATATAAAAATGTGGTATCGGAGTTTATGAGTAATGCTATCAGTAAAAAAAATGTTAATTTGTTATATTTTAGACAAGTTTGCTATCAGAAAGAATTCCTACTCCAGTAGAGGGTTCTGGTTCTGTTTCTTCAGTAAGCCAGGAATCCCAAAACATGTAAGTACAATGACTTCAGCTCATCTGTTGTTTTACATTTGCTGAAATAATTTTAAGATGAAAATGTAATAGAATATTTTGGCAAAAACATTTTCTGGGAGCTAAATGTATACATATAGGATGAAGGAAAATTACATCTAGGAGGAACTTTAGACATCCTATGTTCTTGTGTCTTTTAAAGGAAAAGCATAGCAATATTTATTATACTGCAACCTTTATTTTGGGTTAGGAAAATATAATGTGACATGAAGTGTTTCCAGAAAAATTGGAGAATTACCAAATACTAAACTGAGAAATCTAACTAGAGAATTTAGTAGAAGTGGAATGTTTTCAAATGTCAATGAAGTCAATGTGTGGGAATGCATTTTAATTAGATTTTGGCATTGGAGAATTATTTAAATCATTATTTATACTAATTTTTAATTAGATGTTTCCATTTTTTTTACACTAATGTTCTCATATCAATAGGATATAAAGTCAGATTAATAGGGAATACATATATATATATTTAAATTAAGATCTGGTGCCATGCTCCTGGAGTCTCTTAATTGAGTGCTGGCATAATCTACAAAGATAATAATTAGAACTTTAAGTGATAGTTAAGAGGAATTCAAAAATTAACATTTTTTTTAGGTAGGCAAAAAGATAGGCATAGTTTAACTTAAAAAAAAAGCCAGTCAAACAAATAAAGCCTTTTGCATTTCCTTAATGGTGTAATGATTCAACAAGGAGTTAATTTTCTAAAATTCAGCTATAGATTTTTTTTCTGGTATAGTTGTCAAACTTGAATCAGCTTCCTTTTTTTTTTCCTTTGCATAAGAGGGTGAGTAAAAACATTGCTGCAATTCATTTTTGAGTTAGTTTTTCAGTATGGTTTCTTTGATCTGTAATTTATCATTTTTCATTTTCATTCATTTTCTATTCATTCATTCAGCTGTTTATTGGACCAACTGTTTTGCCAAGTTCTGAGGATACCTATATTCTTTAGAGAACTTACTGTGTAGTGTCAAATACAAATAAGTAAATGCAATGTGGCAACATAGTATGCTAAATTTGTGATAAGAGTCATGTAGGATACTTTGGGCGCTAACTTGTGAGGGAAATCTTTCCATAAGAAGTTGTCATTAAACTAAGTTAAAATGAATACATGGATATTAACTGTCTATAAAGGGGAGAACATTATTTTGTGCAGAAGAAATAGTGTGGTCAGTATGCTACAAGTGAGAGGGAATATGATTAATGTATTTAACACATTTTATTGTCAGTAATATTTTTACATTCTGATGTTTGAGTGTGAGGAACTAATTATGTCACTCCTTCCCTCCTGTGTTGTGAACCAATTAATAGAGATAAATCAAGCAAATCAAAACGCTAAATAACATAGGCTTCGTAAGATCAGAAGAATTAGATTAACCCTTCTGTCACAATTATAGTGGACAGCCATAGGCTTCCCTCACCCTCACTTAATCACTTAACTGTATAGTAGAATAGATCAGATTATGTGTTTCCTACAGGTACGTGGATCCCAAAGAAGTGGTGGATTGTAGAGAGGCATTGCCTAGCCAAGCATAGTTAGGTCATCTTACAAACCTCCTGAGTCCCTTCCTTTAATGGGGAGGAGTGAATTATTAAGTAGAGAGAGGCAAGCAGTGTTTGTTAAACTGGGGAATGTGCTCCATGTGTAAACTTGATGTAGGGGAAAAGGAGGTTCCCTCAACATCTTACATTAATGTCTTAGAAACAAAGGTTTAATAGTTTTGATAAAATAGAACTGTTTTCATTTTTGTCATCAAAATCAGATTACCTCATAGAGTTGAGTATCTTTTGCATTAATTAAAAAGTTGGTATGAGATGGGCATTATTCCTTGATAGTCTGGTAAAACATGAGTGTAAAACCATTTGGGCCAATTAACTAGACTAGTCATGTTGCCAGCACAGAGCAGATGCTTGATAGCTTGGTTGAATTAGTTAATGAATGAATAACCCTTCTCCTGCCACAAATCCTAGTTTCTTTTTCTTTTCTTTTCTTTTTTTTTTTTTGTAACAAGCACTAGAGGAATTTATAAATGGCTGAATATAATAATCAACAGCAAACAACTTTCATAAGTACAGACAATACTCAATTGGAAGATATAATAGAAGAAAAGATCACATTTACAATAGCAAAACAATTTTATAGAAATAAATTTAATGAGAAATATGCAAAATCTGTACAAACAAGGATAGAATACTTTTCTTTAAATAGGAAGATTCAATATTACAAAGATGTCACCTCTTACTAATTTAAGTAACAAACTTAATTCTATACAATAAATACAGTAAGACTGTTATTTCGTTGTTCATTTGCTTTTTGAACAGGAAAGGTTGATTTATATGGAAAATAGGAAAAAATACTCAAGAAAATTCTCAGCAAAGAAAAGTAACAAGTTACAATCCCTTTCATATTTTAAAATATAGACTTATAGTAATTGCATTAATAATAGTGCATGAATAGACATGCAGATAAATGGACTAAACAAGAAAGTATGTCATGAATTGCAGACAAAATATTTTCCCATGACTTATCATTTGTATCTTTTACTTTGTTTATAATATTTTAATGACAAGGTAGTTTTATTTTAATTTTACATGGTCAAATTAGTCTCTTTTCATTTAAAATTTCTGAGTTTTGGATTAACCCTAGAAATGTCTTCCCAACCTTGAAATTTCACACATACACATACACAGCTGTGTCTATACATGTATAATATTTCTATAGTATACTTATATTTCTATTTTTCTATTTAAATATTTGAAACATTTGGAATTTGGGGGTAAGTAATGACATGAGAGTTCAAAAGTAATTTTATTTTCCAAATTACTGTCCAATTGTCCCATTTATTAAATGCTTAATCCCTTACCCACTGATTTGCTATGCCATTCTTGCCATGCACTAGTATCCAACATATATTTGGGTCTACTTACAAGATCCTAGTTTCTTAATAGTAACACTGACAGTAAGACTTGAGATGTCAAAGTAAAATTAAGGGTAAGTTGCCGAAGTCCATGTTCTTGAGCCTCTGACAGACTAATATTAGGCAGTTTGATTTTATATTTTCTGACAGCATATGTTGGAGATTTCCTCTCTATCTTCTCATTTATTGGTGCTTGCAATTTTATAAAGAAGATAGAAACTGCTGTGTAGTCATCATAGGTGATGTTTTTAAATCTAGATGTTGAAATACAACCCCAAATGAGATTTCTTCAAGGCTACTTTGATGTCAGTGATTGGGATGACTGCAGACTACTTAGAGACCATCCTTAGGGTGACTGTAGAGAAGAACGTAATCACAAAACAACCAAAGATGCCCAGCCTGCCCCAACCGTTACCAAGGAGCCTTTGATAAAACTAGAGGCTGAAGTAGCAGGGGATCTGTGATCTGAAACAACAGCCTGTGATTCCCAAAGAAATAAACACCTAAAACTTAATTTCCACAAGAGTATCTAACCCTCTATAATATCTAACTACTCAAAAAATGGAATCCTCATGAGCTAACAAAGCCATGTGATCTTTGCCTTGGAGGGTCCTCTAAGAACAATTAAAAAAAAATAGAGAATGGCTTACATCTTCCTTCTGTTTTGAAACATTGAGTATCTTCACTAATTTGAAGGGAGAATTAAATGCTGAGGTAGTATTGGAAAAGACAAACTAAAACATTGTATCACATAATTCTGAAAAAGTTAACCTGCAGGTTTTTTGCCTGTGTTTTTATTCGTGGGAATTCAGGGTAGACTTTTTAAGAACACAATTTCTTTAATGGCTAATGATTCATTCATGTTTTATTTCTGCTTGAGTGACTCGACTGTTTTGTGAAAAATAACACTACATTTTTTTATCTGAATATTTACTTTTTTGGTTTTAATTTGTTCAAAGTTTTCTTGTGTTGTTAATTTCTTTAACTGTGGTTATTTTTGATTCTTAGTATTTTTTGGCTCCCCTCCCACACTTGGCCAATTTATTGCATTAGTTTATGCAAAGGCCAGGTTTTGGTTTTGCTAATGTTCTGTTTCCCTCTCTCCCCATCTCCCTTCCTTTTCTCTCCTCTCCTTCCCTTACTTCAGTAGTACAGGCAAGTAAATAAAAAGATAATTGAGAATGGATATTAAAACAAACAATTACATCATTTATTCTAATTGTAATACATTTTGATATGTAGCACTTTCACTGTTAAGCGCTTATAAATATTAAGAACTTTCTATCTTGATTTTACTCTTTAAATTCATGAAATATTTGGAATACATTTAAGTTTCCAAAGAGTTGTTTTTTAACTACTATACTTTATGTTGTTTTCTAATTCATTTATATTGTTTTCAGAAAACATGGATTGCATCGTATGTGTTCTTTTAGGCTGGTTGAGATCTTGTGATGTAGTATAGATTCAATTAAAACAAATCTGTCCTTGCGTGAAAAGGCTATTTTATGTTCTTAATTGGAAGTAGGTATTTAAAATTTTCAATATTTTTTCTGCTTGATGTATAATCATTCACTATAAAAGTTGATATGTAAATTGTTCTTTGTTCTAGAGTTTTGTTTTACATACTTACATTTTATGCTATTAGGAACATAAAAGTTCACTGTTTCTTGGTTACATTTTTATTTTATTATTTAGTTTCCCATTACTGCGTTACCTTAAGTTTTATATTGTATGATATTGATATTGTTACTTTGCTTTAATTAGTTTGCAAGTATATTTGTTTGCAGATAACTCAGCAAGACTTTCTTTTTCTCATAAAACAAGAAGTCTCTTGGAATTCACCCAGGCGTTGGCTTATAGATGCTGTTTCAGACCAAGCCTCCTTTTTTCTTGTTCGTCATTAATGTCTGCTTTTTGCCCTCAGGGTTGCACAGTGGCCAATCTCTAGACCTCACAGCTGCTTTCTAAGAGGAAAAAGGTTGTAGAGCCAAATGGTTTCTTTTCATGATGCATTGTCTTTTATTTACGACAGAAATCTCTTGTCATTAGATTCTTTTGTGAACATCTTACTAGATATGCCATATGGCCATCTCTTGCTGCATGAGAGTTGATGAAAAAGGAGTTTAGATGGAGATTGGATCAGACAATCAATACTGCCTGTTAATGCAGAGTATTTTTTTCATCCTTTTATTTTCTGCCATTCAGAGTAGTAAATTGTGAACTTTTACCCAACCTTACAGTCTCATTTTTTACTAGATGAGTTTTTTTTTTTTTTACTTTTTTGCAGTACTGATATTTGGCACTTTTTTTTCTTATTTTTTATTTATATTCTATTTTCTTTCCTTTTCTCCTTTATTGCCTTATCTTAGATCAATACTTTTTTATTCCTTTTCCCTTGGTTTTGATTTTATAAATTATGTTTCTCTTAAAAAGTGGCTGTTCCTAAATTCTCAATAGTATGTTTAATTGTATATTTTTTCTAAGAAAGTAAAAAGTAATTGAGTATTCATATCATGTTTTGAAAAGCAATATGGAGCTTAGTATACTTTGACCAGTCATTGCTTTTCTAAATACTCCATAATTTTTAGTCTTGTTATAGTTACCTAGAAGTTTGGTTTTATTTTTTTAATCACCTAATTTATTTCTTCTCACAGATATTAAATTTGTTGGCATTTTTATTATTTTATGCCATTTATTGAAACTTGTAACCCATTTTTTTCTGATAGGCTCAGTTTTTCCCTAATGAAGTATGTTTCTAAGTTTCCAGTTATCCTTTAATTATTTTTAAGGATTTGAAGGTAGCAAACTGACCTTATCCTTTGATATCTGATGATAGCTATGCTCCCTCCAACCCACACAAACCACCCCCTCCCCTGCCCATAGCTTGCTATAGAGCTCACATTCTCTCCCTTAAACGGTGGTTTATCTGGGTATAAAAGTTTTGATAGACAATCATTTTTTACTAGTATTTGAAGCTTTACTACATTGTCTTCTGAAATAATTGGTAACTGATAAATCTGTTAGTATAGTCACTTTCTTATATAAGTTATATCTTTTCTCATAGCTTTCAATTTCTTTTTTGGATGTTTTCTATTTTTGTGTGATTTAAGTTTACTTTGATTATTCTTTTGAGTATAGACTAGACTTGTATCTTCTAGAAAATTCTTATTTTTCAAATATTATATTCTCTTGGAGCATTTATCAGATGTATTTGAGAACTTTCAGTATATTCTCTCTCTTGTTTGTTCATTTATTTCTTGTCTAGCTAGCTACCATTCAGTTCAGTAATTCTTTTCAGCCTAGAGTTTTCCCATTCCCATTTGCTTTCCAAGTGGCTGGTTTTTTTTTGGGTTTTTTTGTTTATTTTTTTTTACTTCCAAGATTTCCAATGGTTCTTATTAAAAAAAAAAAAAACACCTGTTTTTATTTGATTGTTGCTTTTTGCTTCAGTTTTAATGGAAGATTAAAAAAATTTTCCTTTGAACATCATGAATAAAATTAGTCATTAAATTGTTTCAGCAGGAATGGATTCAATTTAATGAATGTTGATTCTGCTGATTCTTAGCTTTAGAAGTCTTTTAAAGTTTGAGTGCAAGTCCATTTTCAAATGAGTCTTTTTTCTTCCCTGCGTTCCTCTCTTCTCCCCTGCCTTGTTTTCTCCAGTTTCTAGTTTTATGTTCATTCTTCCTTGTCCAGTGGTTTTATAGTTTTTTCTTTTATCTTCATGTTTTAAATAAACATTGTAATGGCATTTTGAGGCTCCTGTCAGTGATGACAAGGATATTACATATAAATTAGAAGGTAAAAGATGAATTGCTAATCTGCTTATTTTGAGAAATGAGACTTTCACTGTATCCTCCTGTCTCCCTAGGCTTATGGCTTGTTAGAAGCCACAGCTTTAGGCAGTTTTATACATATACATGTATTGTATGTATAATATATATATATATATATATATATATATATATAAAATGTATTTTGTTTACATGTATGTTCTTTAAATATTTAACTAAACTTAAAATATGTAATTTATATATGTACTATTTTTAGTAGTCTTACCCAGTCATGAATCTTAAGCAGTGAGCCTACCACTGGTCTTAACATTTCATATGTAACTCTTTGAGTTCTTTCTATCCTATTTAAGACAAATTTGGATTTCATTGCCTGCATTTGCCTCAAAACTAGTCCTGCTTCTTTTTGCTTCTGTTCTTTGTCTAAGGTGATATTTATTTTGTGTTTCAATATGGTTGTATCTTTGGCCATTACTGTATAATCACAGATGGATATGTGTCAACATGTACTGATTGTTCCTATTTTTTTTACCAGAAAAGTTCTGGATTTCAAATCTCTTACCAGTTTCAAAACATACTTCTGAAACTTCCTTGGGGAAAAGGGGCACACTTTTTTATACTCAGTTTTGCTATTCCTATAAACGTTTGATTTTCACTTGTTTCAATGTCCACAGTTCCTTTCTAGACAACTAGGTATATCCAGTAGGGTGGGTAATACATTTTCTCTTACTTCTGGTACTTCAGAATGAGGTGCCCATATCCCCTCCTGTGTTTCCAGATTTCTAGCTCTGACTCTCCTGTTAACTGTGTCTCCTGAATGTTTCAAGTTTTTTCTTTTTTTTTTCCTCTGGAGAATGCTAATTGCCTTTTAGAAGTATTCTGAGAAAAAATGGAATTCTCCAAGAGTAAAACTAAAAAGCTATAAAAATAAAGATAAAATGCCTGATATGCTTTAGAAAGTCAGAGGAGAGATACCTTATAATGAAAAGGAATATAGAAATAATGGGGCTTGGAATCCAGGCACAGCAGAATTATAATAGGAAAACAGAATAAAATTAAGACATGGTTGAGAGAATCTAGGTGTAATGAAAATGCTGACATGTGCAGCTAATATTTGATTTATTTAGTGAAGGAAAATTATTGGATAGAAGATATAAGAGTAAAAACTCATTGTCAAGGAAACCATACTATTGATCTTATTTTTAAACTTTGCAGCCAATATATACTCTGTAAATTTAATGTTAGTAGTATTAAGCTGAGGTTTTGTTTTCAGTTTTGAGTGTAAGAAAGACATTCATACTTTTCTTTTTACCTATTTCAGTATGGCTTGGGAAGAGAATTTGTTAGATGATTTACTGAATTTTGCTGCCACTCCCAAAGGACTTCTACTTCTTCAAAGAACAGGTGCCCTCAATGAATGTGTGACATTTATGTTCAGCCAATATGCAAAAAAATTACAGGTATGAATTACCATCTGCCACAGGCAAAAGGAACTTTTGTTTCTGTAAAAGCCATTAAGAACATCATTCTGTTTTCTTTGTGTGAAGAGATTATTAAACCTCAATTAAAAATCCATATAGCATTGTAATACTTGATGTTTTTTCAGGAAAGCATTAGAGCGTTGATGACTGTTAACAGGATGAAACAACTGGATGAAATTGAAAAGTTCAGTTACTTATCCAGATGTTTTATAAATATGATATCAAACATCTAGATATACTAAAACTAGGTGGAATTCAAGGAGAAAAACCTATTGTGTCTAAATGTATGTGTAATTGAGAGTTTAGGCCTCCCATTTTTAAAGAAAGAAATATTTGTAGAGGTATTTTATTATTGCTACTATTAAATAAAATTTGCAGTAAATTTAGCCTTTCTCAGATATTATTGAGGTATATTCTTTTTTTTTTTTTTGCAGTCCCAGTAAATATCCCTAGTTTTCTGGACATTTTAGGATCATAAGTATGCTTTTAAAAATGTTTTCTTTGTCTCTGGCAGTTACTGTTTCTTGATACTCAGACTTCTCGTTGTATTTTCATGTAGCCTAGGGAGCACTTGGCAATCTTTTTTTCATAAGAGTGCTAACTCAGTTCCATCCATGAACACTCTCCATCTTCCTGACCTAATCTCTTCCCAAAGGCCCTACTTATTACCATTATCTTTTTTGGTTTACAAAAATTATATTTAGATCTGGTGAATTTGAATCTCTCCTCGTGTGCTAGTTAACTGTTTGGTTTCTTTCTTTTTTTTTTTTTTCGGTTTTGAAAATAGCTCAAGCAATTCAAAGACACTTTTTTCCCTCATTCAGATGCTTGAGACCTTGCAGACACAGCTTTGACTATTTTAATAATGCACCTGGGACTAGATGTCATTTTTTTATGTACGTAAATTTTGAAACAATCTCGTCTTCCTTTGTACTATACTGTTTTAATAGAAGACATTGTTCTTGAACCTCAGTAACTAACAACTATAATTTAGTACAATACTTTAATGTTGCTTTATACTATTCAGGGTGTTTTTTGAAAATTTAGATTCTCAGTTATCTTATAAAAAAAGCAACTAGGCTTTCCTAAGTTTTACTGAGGAGAAAGTGGAGATCTAGGCTGGTTATAAATGATCTGCTTATGTTCACATATCTAGTTACTGATGGTAGTAATACTAGAACTCAGATGAGTCTTTAACAGTGTCCATGAAATCTAAGTCTTGTTTAGTGAAGCACCTGTAACTTCTCTCAAGTTTTTCTTGACCTCTTCCTTTTTAGTTTTTAGTGTTGACCTGGGAGACCCCTCTGGCTAGTATCTGAATCAGCAGAGTCAATGGGGGTGATTGATGAGTAAGGTGTTTTTTCCATTGTCATGGAAGAGGCAAGTGGGAAAGGATAGTTGCTGTACTTCTATGTTATCTAACTGCAGAATATTGGATGGTAAATTAAGAAACATGGAGAATAAGAATCGTAAAAATGGAAAACGAAGGCAAGCTTAAAAAGAAATGAGCAGCAAAAGAATTTAAGAAATAAACCTAATTCTTTCCTAGGGTCTTTTAGTTCTCTTTTTTGCCCTTAAAACTGAATGTACAGTTTATATTTTAAAATTTTGATTCAAACACATCCTTACCCTTTTAATAAAATGTCGAAAAATACAAATTCTGAATGGTTACCTTTGTATAGAAGTCAGATATTTCATAGAGCAACATGATCTTAGCCAAAGTCTGAAGAGGGAGGAACATTTTATGATGTCTTGTCTTATTAAGAGATATTTCTGAACTTTACCATGAATACGTGTATGATACTGTCTGTGAAATAACAAGTCATTTAAGGTTTTCTCCAGTGTTGTTTAGAAAACTGTATATTAATGAGGATTCTGTGTGTGTGTGTGTGTGTGTGTGTGTGTGTATGTGTGCGCATGTGTATGTAATTTCCTCCTTTAGGGAAAAAAAAGTCACATTGCCTCTAAAACTGTCATTGTTAAGAAGTCATCATTATTCTTTTTAAAATTGTCTATTTGAAACCCCAGTTAAAAAACTGGCAGTCAGTACAGATTAGTGAGAATTTATTTGAAGAGTCAACGTAAAGATAAAATATTAAGATAATAGAATTTAGAGTCGGAAGGAATCTCTTTTCATCTGGTCCAAAGCCCCATTATTTTATGTATAAAGAGATTTAGACCTTGAGACATAGTGACTTGTTCAAGGTCAAAAAGCTACTTAGTTTTAGAGCTGGTAAGAGAACCTAGATCTGAAATAAGATTGTCAAAAATATTACATTAGCATTAACTTACTGATTATTATAATTTGAGTTTTTTCTACTCTTGTTATCTTTACTTGAAAGACTGTCCAGTATTTTAGTAAAGATATCAATAACTCAACATGTAACATCTGAATAAAATATTGGCATGCTATGTTTTCCTGCTTCTTACTGTTCCTTATTTATGTTAGATCAGCAGGCATAGAAAGTTTGGCTATGAAGTTTTGGTTACACAAGTGGCATCAACAGCAGCAGGTGCAGTAGCACTACAAAGTTCAGGTAAATTCTTTAGAATTATAATTTAAATGAAATGAGCAAGTCAGTATAAAATTTAACTGCCATGATCAAGTATCAGTTATTTCACTCAAAAATTTTTTCCCAGGTTAGGCCTGAGGTGAAAGAATGCTAATGGGATTTCCTTTTTTTTTTTTTCTTTTTCATGAAATTCCACTAGGAATTTTTTTTTTCTGTAAAACATAAACAGATTTTTTTTTCTTTGCATTTAACAATGGCACATAATGACCTAAGCTGAAATATACTCGATCCTTTAAGAAACTTTCATCTTATAAATCAAAAGTTTATCATCCTCTCCCTTGGTGTAATTGCATCTGATAGGATTTAATGCTCAGTTTCAGTGAATTATATATAAGCATGATTTACAATCATAATAGTTTATCACAAACATATACCATTTTCTTATTCTCTTTCTTCTTTCCTTCTTGAGAGATTCCCTCTTACTCGCTTAATTTGCACCAGTATTTTTGCAGTTTGCAGTTTGCGTGTATTATCTTCTACAGACTGGATTTTTAAGATGTTCGAACATTGAGAATTTTATATATTGGGGTTATCTGAACCCTAAGCCAGAGACAAGGTGTACTCTGTATTAGAGATGCTGTGATTATATTTAAGTCTTAGAAGTGAAGAATCATAACATCAGTGATCACTATTGATTCTTTCCTTAAAGGAAAATATTTTTCTATAGTGTATCTTAAATATTTTTTGGCTGAACTAATTTGGACTACTTACGTTATGAAACATGTTTCTTGGCAAAAGTTATCCTAAGCTGAGCCACTTATTCTTTTCTTTTGTTTCTTCAAAGAATAAAATCTAATTGGTTGTAGTTACTCAGGGGGTACATTAATGGAGCATTTGAAGACTAGATTCAACCTCAGATTTCTCTGTTGGTTGAGGCATTAAGTTTCTCAGCCTCATCATATCAGACCATTCTTAAGGCTAAATGCAGTTTTTTATTGGAGAAAGGAAGGAAGATTAACACTGCTTGAGTTCTGTGGTGTCTTAATACTATATTAAGAATCTATGTGTATCATCCCATTTATACTTTATGGCAACCCTCAAATGCAGCACTGTTTCACTTTTCAGATTTAACTGGTGCTCTAAGAAGTCAAAAGATTTAAGGACATAATGCTAATACGCTGGCAGATTTATAATATGAACCTTGATATTTTTTATTTCAGAGCCTGTATTTTTCTTTTGTACCACAGAACCCTTTCTGCTCTAATGTTATTATGAACTTGCTGATTTTATGATTAGGTGTTCTGTTTTACACTTTTCCATATGATTTGATATGTCTTAAAGGAATTTAATAATTGGGCTTAATAATCACTTTCATATAGATAAAATAATATACTATCTGACTCATGAGAATTTAAAGACTGTCTAGAGCCAGAGGTTGTATGAAACGAAGCATTGTTCTAAGCATATGGAAATGGGAAAAAAATCGTTACATGAGACTAAGGGAACACGCTTAGACTCTTTGGGTGCCTGCTGTGCCTTCAGTACACACCTTCTGTACACACCCGCTGCCCTAGCTTTCAAGCTGCCTTTCACTCATTTGCAGAGTGAAGTGTAAACCTTAGTTTTTTCAGAAAAACATACTCAGAGAGGTTACTGGCCAAAGGTTAAAAACAGACTCAGTCCTTCAGGGAAATAGTCTTTCAGAATTTGGTCATTATGTAATTTTATGATAATGAGGCATCATAGACATATATTAACAGCAGTGGATATAATTTATACCAAGGTTATAGGTTATTTCTTATACAAGATACAAGTATGTCTTTTGTCAGTATGGACCAGTCTTGTCAGAAGGATAATTATATATTTCCTCTGTAATTCAAAGACTAGTATGTTATAAATATTATGCAAAATTCTTCTTAGGGTTCATTAATGCACTTATTACTGAATTATGGGCCAATCTGGAATGTGGAAGAGATGATGTTAGAGTAACCCATCCCAGATCTACTCCAGTGGACCCTATTGACCAAAGCTGTCAAAAGGTAAAAAATGATTTATCTAATAATGTGCAGATTTTAAGTTTTTCTCTTAAGTTACTTCATCCAGACTTACCTATATTCAGTTACAGAAAACAACCTTTCCTAAGTTCTTCTTTTTCCTCTTTTCATTTCTAAATTTTTATTTTCAAAATATTTCAAAACTTAGTGAAAGATACATACCAGTATTCCCTATGAATTATTTTGCAAGGACATTTTTCTTTTGTGATATTCCTACTATAACTTTTTTCAATTAATAAAAGTAATACATAACGGACATGTTACCAAAGCAAAACAATAAACACTGACTCAAAGAACTGGAAAAAGAACAAATAAAACCCAAATTTAATAAAAGAAATTATAAGGGTCAAAGCAGAAATAGTAACTAAAAAAAAAATAGGAAAGATCAATGAAACTAAGAGCTGGTTCTTTGAAAAGATAAACAAAATCGGTATACCTTTAGCCAGATTTATCAAGAAAAAAAGGACCCAAATAAATTAGAAATAAAAAAGAATTTACAGCCAATACTGCAGAAATCATGATACTACTATGAACAATTGTATTCCAATAAAATGGACAACTGAGAAGAAATTGATAAATTCCTAGAAATGTAATCTCTCAAGACTGAATCAGGAAGAAATGCAAAATATGAATAGACAGATGACCAGTAATGCAATTGAATCAATATTAATAGTAGAAAACTCCCAACAAAGAAAAGCCCAGGATCAGATGGCTTCACAGGTGACTTGTACCAAACATATAAAGGGTTAATGCCTCTCTTTTTCAAACTATTCCAAGTTTGAAAGGAAGGAATGCTTCACAATCAAGGCCAACATCAATTACCCTGATACCGAAACAAAAGACACTACCAAAAAAAGTTACAGGCCAATATCACTGAATGTAGATGTAAAAATCCACAACAAAATACAGACTATATAAATCTCTTGAGGAATCTCCTTACTGTTTTCCACAGTGGCTACACCAAACTGCATTTTCACCAACAGTGTAGGAGGGTTCCCTTTTCTCCACACCTTCTCCAGCATTTATCTTTTGTGGACTTCTGAATGATGGCCATTCATACTGGTGTGAGATGTTACCTCATTGTAGTTTTGATTTGCATTTCTCTGATAATTAGTGATATTGAACATTTTTTCATGTGCCTATTGGCCATTCATATGTGTCATTGGAGAATTGCTTGTTTAGATCCATTTTTGGATTGGATTGTTTATTTTTTTCTTAGTAAGTCTGTATGGTTACAGGTTTCTTGAATTTTACATGATGTTGCAAAGTACTGATTATAATCCCTAGGAAATATTTCTAATTCAAATTTAGAGTTAAAAGAATTTTAACTTCTTTGACTTTGAGTTAGGAATGTCCATATAAACTAATCATTAACTTTTCTCTTAAAAAAAATTGTACATTTTCCTGAACTATGAAAGACCTAGAATCTCATAGTGATAAACAGTCTTAGTGCCCAGCTTCTAGCTCTAAATATTATTCTTCCTTAGGGATTCTATTTTCTTTTAGGATTTAATTCTATTGTTGTTTAAATTTTAGAAAACAGTGATGCAGCTTCAATACATAATGAGGCACATTTAAAAGTTTACTTCCAGTCCAGTTCCTTCCTCCTTTTCTCTATAATGTTGCTTTGCAATATGATAGACAATAGTCCCATGTAGCTACGTAAATTTAAAATAATTAAAGTTAAAAATTCAGTTTTGGGGATGCATGTAGCTCAGTGGTAGAGCACATGCTTTAGCATGCACTAAGTCCTAGGTTCAATCCCCAGTACCTCCATTAAAAAAAAAAACTTATAAAAATTCGATTGCAGCTACATTAATCATATCTTAATTGGTCATCAATAGCCACATTTAGTAGTGACTACCTTATTGTACAGTACAGAACATAAAACTTCCATCCTCACAGAACATTTTATTCATAAGCCAGGACTGTGGAGTAAGGGCAACATTGTTAATAAATAGTGTCTGAAGATTACTTATTTTGTAATGAATAATATTAGCCTGAAAATAAGAAAATACTGTTAGTTCTGCTACCAGGTTTCTGATTATATGTCTTTCGCTAAGTCACTTCACTTCTCTGATCCTCAAATTTTCTCATCTATTAAATGAGAGATTGAATTAACTGTTTTTTTAATTATCTTAGTGTACTGATTTTAGTGAGAATTCTTAATTTGTCTGATTGTCAAATTTTCTGAGTCTAATGAGTATTTTAACATGACAAGCAGAAAACTTATTAGTTACAACTCAGTGCAGTTAATATAATACAAATTAAACATACAAGTTTTGACAGGATATAGGGCTTCTAGAGATGGATAGACTTAGTTGGAAAGCCTTCTAGAAAAAACATAGCAAGCTTGAAAGCTTGTGAAGGAGGATAATGAGTAAGTGGGAGGGCAGGAGAGAGCATGTTAGTAGTATAAGGGAAGTTTGTATGTGTGGCAGTCACTTGAAGGAGACCACAGGCAGATTTGATTGATGTAGCAATGACTTCAAGGTGAGGAAACTTAATGGGAATTGAGGCTTTTGAGACTGAAGAGAAGAAAGGTGTCGATTAGTAAAGTGCCTTGAAAGCCATGCTGAGGAGTTTAGATCTATTGTTTAGTAGTGGGCAACCCTTACATTTGCACAGGGGATCCAAAGAATGAAATGTGCTTGAGAAAAATATTTAGGCTGTTGTCAGTAAGACGAGAGCAGGAGCTTAAAAATTTCATGGAAAGATTAACTGGATAAGCTTGCACCAGAAAATAAGCTGGTTTTCATAGTAAAAGCCATGGCTTTTAAAAATTAACTATAATTAGGTTACTTGTATTTCCAATGAATGTAAAGGATAAAAGGTAGTCTTGTGACCTGAAAGTAGTAATATGTAAAATTTATTATCTTGCTCCAGAACTCCAGAGTATCTTTTCTTATATTTTCTTACACATCAGATATAACAAGGCAAAGAGTGAGAAAGATGGGTCATTTCATTTTTTTTTATCAGAACCAAACTATCAAAAGATACATGATATAAATGGAGTTGGAAAATGTTTTAAAATGTTTTGTTACAATTGTTACGCATTGTCAGCACGTAGATTGTTATTTATGTTAACTATTTTGTACTTACCGTATATGCATGTATTTCATAGTTATATGGATTAATTGGGATTATTTTAGAAATTACCCCTTGCAGTCATACTGCTGTAAAACTTTACATTAATGATTCTTTGATAGATGTGGTTAAAAAAATGAACCATGTGAATAATTTTTTTCCCCTTTCCTCAGTCTTTTCTAGCACTGGTGAACTTGTTATCTTATCCCGCTGTTTATGAGCTGGCAGGCAATCAAGGTCTTCCTAATAAAGCAGAGTACTCTCTTCGTGAAGTCCCAACATGCATTGTTGTAAGTAATTTTCTTTTAATCTTTCACTTTTGTCATGCACTTTTTTAAGATTTGTAGTAAAAATGCAGTTTAACAGAAAAAAGAAACACTAATCATATTTAAAGGCTGATTTGATTTAGTTACCTACAGAATGTTAGCTTCTGAATGATCTATAAGTGCAATCTTTGATCCAGGCTATCTAACAGCTGTAGCACCTGTCAAAATGCAAGGTTAAGTCTTCCCAACTAGGAAGTAGACTTGGCATAAATAGAAGGATGTATATGAGTTATTTTAGGTGACTTATACTATTAGTCACACCAGTACTGCTCCTTCATTGGCGAAGATAATTAGGGATAAATTGTTTCCAAGGGGTCCAATATTTTTCTGCTTATTTTGAATGAACTATGTATTACTGCCCCATGAGGGCAGTATGTACATATTTATTTGAGACTTATTTTATATTCATACTCGAAAATAAGTAACTTGTTCTAGTCATTCAGAGATACTTAGTTCCTCATCTTTGGGTAAGTTTCTGAATTGAAGACACATAAATACGTGTATATATACATTAGTAAAGAATTATTTAGTTCTGAAATTCCACTGTTAATCAGTACTTTTTATTTCTGGTCACTTTGTCCTGTGTTTTGTCTTTTTACTATGGTCTTGACATTTTGAGTACTTCCAATTCTTATTGACCCTAAACATTTTGATTTTTTTAAACTTTCTCAAATTTTTGATAAATTTTGGTAAATTTTTGATAATGTATATGAATGAAATATAAAGATAAGTATTTTTATCATTAAACTTTTAATTTATATTCTTAAAGTATTCCCATTCTATCTTGTCCTTACTTGTATCTTGACACTTCTTAAGTAGTTTTGTAATTAGCCATTTATTTGTCTGTCTTCCCTACTACTCTGTGAGAGCCTGAGGGCACGTAGGATATCTTAGTCACATTTGCACCTAGCACATAGTAGATATCCAGTGAATTGGTTTTGAAAATATTTCTAATATTATTGCCTTTGTTTAAATCTATTACGGAAAACAAGTACAAATGAGTTGTTATTTCTTCTCAAACAATGGCTTGGATGTTCTCAAGTGTTCATGGATGTTCTACAGTGCATAGTCAAAAATGTCTTTCCACTTATGTAAGGATTTGTCTTTTATTTAGTATTAAAACACTTAACTGTGAGTGAGTCCGTCTTTCCCACTACATTTTAATCCTATAGAAGAATCACTGCTTCTTATCGTTTAAACATATATAAACTCTCCTTGTTAAAAAAAGATTTCCTTGATCTGTGTTGTCTTTTAGCTACCATCCTATGATTTTCTTTTTTGTTTCCCTGCCAAAAAGTGTCTTGAACTTGCCTAAACTTGAAATTTCAACTTCTTTCTCTTGTATCAATTCTGGAAGTCACTGTAATCCTGAGTCTTGCTTGATCACCTTTAGAAATGGTTCTGCAGGAAGTCCCCGATGAATGTGTAATTCCCTGATCCAGTGGAACCTCCTCCTTGTTGATTTATCACTTTGTGGTGTTTAGCACAGTTGATCACTCCTCCTCAGTATCACTCTCTTCTGTGACCATGGCATTGCTTCCGGTTCTCTTCCAGCTTCTCTGGCCTCTCCCGCACACTCTCCTTTGTGGGCTTCTCCTCCTCTTTTTCATATCCTTTGTGTTCATCTCATCCAGTTCTGTGCTTCAGTTGTACACTGACAACTCTCTGACCTGTATTGCTTACTTGACTGCCAGATCTATAGCCAGATTTCTCCCAGATAATGGACATCTGGAAAACTCATGGGAAACTTACCATGTCTACAACTGAATACAGTGTTTTTTCTATCCTAAATCAATTCTGTCTCTTATTTTTCTATCTTAGCTCTATCATCCACACAACTGAATAAGCTAGAAACCTGAAAGTTGTTGTTGACTCCTCTTTATATGTAGTTATTCACCATTTTATAGATTTTTCTCTCTCTAATGACTTGATTTTATTTACTTTTTCTATTTCATTTAAGACCATCTTAGTTGGGGCCTTCATTTTTTGTCTAGATTACTTCAGTGAGATCTCAACTGCTCTTTTTTCTTCCAGTCTTAACCCATAATTTATCCTCACACTAGTTTATCCTCAAGATGATCCTTTAAAAATGAAATCCAGATGCAGTCATTCTGTTGTTTAAAATCTTTGCTAATTTCCCTTTGCCTCCATGCGTGGTCCATGTTCCTTAATGTTATCTAATATTATCTAATATCTAGTGTAGACTATATAGCACCTTCTACTAAAAGGAATGAGTACTCTGAAGATTCCTTTGTTGTCTCAAAGGTGTCATTTTTCACACTTGGTCAAGTCCTGATCCAAACAGATCCACATGCTGCATTCAGTCATTGTGTCCTTTTAAATCTTATTCTAAAAAAATTGATCTTCCCTTTTTCTTTCCATGGAATTAACTTATTGGAGAAACTAGAATATTTGTCATGAGTTGTACTCATTCATTGTTTTCTTAGGAGATGTGAAATGGTGATTCTAGTTCTATCATTCTTTTTTGTATTTAACTGGAATTATTTATTAAAGGGAATCCTGAAATACAGTTCTTCCAGAAATGACAGAATAAATGCTTGATTCTATTTTTTAAATTTTCAGAGTAATGAACTGATGTTCTAATACTCAAAGGGAGGTTTTATGATTGTTATTATCATTATGAACTCCTGGTTTTACATATATATGTATCAGTCCAATGCAATCACTTTTGCTTTTGATGGTCAAGACACTCATTCTTTGGCTACTGAGTCCTTTTGATAGTTGATATTTTTTTCTTGATTTCTTTTATAAGATATGCTGGACTCATTGTACACATTTTCTGGTTCAGGCCTAGAATCTTCTTCAAAGAGTACTCGTTCCTTTTGTAGGAAAGTGTTTTTAGAAACTACAACCTGAGTACTAGGAATGTTCACTATTCAAGATTGTCATTATTTCTAATTCCCTTCACAGTCTTTTCAGTGGACAGCCAAGGGAAATAAGTAGTTGTTTCTTTTTCTTTTTTTAAGAGAGAAAAATTAATCAGGAGCCTATACTGATATTTCTTCTTACTTTGTTTATATATTTCTTTCTTCTTTACAAAGTTTGGTTTCTAATGACATAAACAAAATAACTCATTTGCTTTATTGCACAATGTACATATAATACTTTCAAAATAAGATTAGTGAACGCATACAGGCATTTCAGTTTTGTCTTTGGATTATCTACTGGGGACTTACAATCAGAATACTGTGTTTTAAAGTAACTTGAAGTAAATAAATCTGTACTCTGCCAGGTTCTGCCATTAACTTGATAGATAAGTTCATGACAGAATGTTTTAAAATTAGGGAAGTTCTTTTTTATTGTTTTAATTTTCTTTTCTTTTAAATTATAGAAAAATACTGTGTGGTTCCAATTTATAATAAGATTTATTTACAGAATGTGCTTAAACATTAGTCCTCACTTTCCTCTCTCCCCTTATACATTTTGATGTTTAATGTGATAACTCCTAGCCACATGTAGAATTTATAAATTATAAACTCTAATTAAATAGAAATTTATTTCCTTTAAGTAGCATTCACATTCTAAGTTTTCAAGTTCCTACTAGCTGTATGTGGTTAAC